GCTTCTTAAATTTGTATTCACTATAATACCATTATAATTAAAGAACAATGGCTCAGCTCGCAAACATTTTCTCAACAAATAATTCTCTATAACATGTAAAACTTACAACTTAGACCATGCAGTATTTATTTTTCATTCTACATATATGCTATTCATAAAGTAGTTTATTATCCATCAGTAAACCATATAAAAATCTCATAAATTACGCCAGTATCCATATTCATAAACCAGCTCGTCCATACTGACTATCCATGTCTCTCTCTATGGAAGTTTGCATCCAGTCTTCTCCTGCTGTTTCTTTTTTTTTTTCTTATGTCATCTGCTTATCTTTTTTTCTGCTGTCCTACGTTTCTTTTGTCTGTCGTCTCTGCCATATATATATATATATATATATATATATATGGCTTATAAATTTTTCATTTCATTATATGGCGTCCTACAATCCAATCAATCACAATACTATTTAAATGTTAAATAGGCATTACTATATGTATTTATACCTGTACATATGATACAATTTTCTTTTGAATCATTACTATTTATATATTTTTTTCTTCTATAAATTATACTGATACTGTGCTTGTGAATCACTGTTCATCCCAACGGATACCAACATCTCACTTTCAATCTAAGTTACATTTGCAGTGATTAACTTGTGTTCACAAGATATTGAGGATTTTTCCTATTCTTTTTTTTTTTTTTTTTTTTACTTATATATTCCTGTCATAGCTATACCGAAATCACCATGCACTGTCCTCTACAGTACAGTAGATTCACAGAAGATAATTGGAAGCTTGCCACAGTATAGAAGTGCTATCTTCATAAAACCGACTAACTTCAGTCTCATCCTCTTTGGTAACAAAGTTATATTAAATAAAACAAACCACATGCTTATAAAGGCATAGCATAAAACACCAACAATCAGGAATTCTCATAAATATATAACGGTTGTATAGAATGGGAACGAATTTCCATGCATGGACAATTATGCAGCCTATTAATAACCACATTACCAAGGTCATCAGCAAAGTTTTCTAGAATATCCATATCTCTTTACTTTCCTAACAATCTTGTCTGTCTGTGTCTCATAATTTTCCTCTATAATAATTTTAAAGCTTATGTACTTTGAATATCTTAACATTGCCTCCCACAGAGACTATTTAATAATAACTAATTAATATACAGAAACTTCATTAGTCAAATCATAAAATATTTTATAATCCTGTAGTCTACAAATACATAGAAGGTAAGTTACATAAACCATTTAAAAATAGTATCCAATTTTTCCTTTCTCCTCTATTTCACCATATCACAGTTTACATGTATTCACTTAATTCTCTCCCATCTGTCCATACCTATATACAACAAAAGAGTGCTATGCACTCATTTATTTCCATTTTCCTGCCATAATATCTGAATTATAAAGTTTATTATCCAAATTTCACAATTCTAGACCACACTGTTTGACACAATCCATGTGCTAACTTCAAGATGAGTTCATTATTAACTCATGAATGCTTTAAATCAGTTATTATCTTCTGATATACATTTATTTATATTAATATTCAATAATATATTCTACTTATTTTTTTTTTTTTATTATCTGTACTTCACAAATATATAATACAATTTGAATTTAAACAATGATTTCCTCCTTGGTTCACATTTCAATTCCAATACAGATTTAACAATGAATCTGTCCACTTTATAGTTTCTTAGTACTGTCATTCTACAAATGACACTAAATAATAAAACTCAATGGATAACTTAAGCTCAGATCCTTGCAGCAAATCTTCAGTTCATTAGCTTATGCACTACACAAGATTGGACAATATAGCAATACATTGCAATATATTACAATAGTCTATTTTCATTATTGTGATAACAATTGTCGTATGTTGTACATATTCATATTATAAAATCATGACATTTTGTGCAATTTACTGTATGGAGAGTTATAACTCATCAAAAGGCAAATACTCTCACTGTTGCGACTCAATATATATATCCAAACATTCTGTATGTACACAAATATTAACTTATTTCCAAAAACTTTTATTCATATTCATAACACTAATAGTAAATTTAAAGACAAGCTTGTTGCTCAAGTATTGTTTAGAAAATTCAACAGGTTTCTTGTACAATCAATAATACAATCAAGAGCCAAGAACATTCATTTCTGGAGTTACCAAAAGCTTTTCTTTAGGTTAAAAGACAACTTCATAAATTATAAAACTGAACCATGTAAGAATAGTCTTACCTGTAATCTATCACTTTCTAACATGTCACATATTAATGTGGTGCTTATAAATTCCAACACTCACTTACTAAACATTGTCTCAAATGACAAATGTACATAGCTACAGGTACCTGCACAGGACCTTTAAGTACCTTTATTGATCAACAATGGCTGCTAAGGGCCATTCTAATGAATTTCAAGAGAAGCATCAAAGAAGTGAACCAATTGCTCAAACATATAATACATTCAATCTGAGCATACATATAATATATAATTCCAGCATAATATGACACCTTTGAGGAATTGGATATCATTTCTAGGTGCTTTTTCAACACATTAATAATCAATATCATATGATTATGATAACCTTGAGGATCCTAATAGATCTCAATTGGATTTTATACTAAATAATGATTAAATAAGGAACTATTAATAATAATAGTTTACAGTTATTCGGTTTTTTAACATTGGAGTTTACTACCAATTGTTAGCCATTGCTATATATATAAAATTCAAAACACAGCAAGAAATAAATATAATAATTGTACTATCAGAGTTAAGTACTATTTTCACTGAGAGCTTCACAGCTAATCATGAGATAGCATCTAAAATGTCTTTAATATCTAATATTATGAAATATAACATGTTATGTTGCTGGTATCAGTTTATGTCAACAATATACTGTGTCTATCTATATTAATATGCTTTATTAATTCATTAATAAACACATATCAAAGTATCAACCAATATAATATATATACATATGACAGTGTCTCAATTTGGGAATATAACTATGAATATAGAATTTAAATTTCAAATTGGGAATATAACTAGAATATATTGATGGTGATCAAGACATATACCTGGACTATGCCTGTGATTGTCATTTATCTGAAATGGGATCATCAAACATATATGTGTACCTATGTAAAGAAATAATAACAATTCTTCAATTCAATTCACGTAGAACAAACACACAAAACTGAACAGTAAGTTTGACTAATTTACTGTGAATTAGCAACAAACTCAGCAATACCATTACACTGTTTATATGTATAACATGGTATGTGTTCTCATGTTCAACCTGTATGTCAACATAGTTAATGTAACTGTTTCTAATCTGTTGATATCCTATCATACTCTATCATAGGCATTAATAACATAACAATAGTTACTCTGTATTTTAAACTAGTTAGATAGCCATGTTGTTCTATACTTAATGTATTCATAATACTTCTTTCTTAGGTATATTGTATACCTCAATATCGTGCTACATGTCATGTCATTACTCTCGCAAGTTATCGTACATACTAAATCTATTTAATATGTAGAAAGCAATTCATACAAAAGTTCAATAAAACAAGTGAGAAACTGCGTTTAATGGTATGCGTGTTATTAACGTAAATTCACTTACCACAACTTCTAGTCAGAATTACCTTACAGTCGAATTTGTAGGCGGGATTGGTACCGCTTCTGAACTTTTAAAATCACTAGTATCCTGACGACTTAGGCGTAATGCCGGTTAGTCAGGGAGAGAAACACCTCAATGCCTACAGTATTCACAATTATCTATCTCTTATTTGTTTTTATAATAATATCAACCCTTCGCTCCAAAACTCCCGCTGCCTCCGTTCAATCGTCCGTCATCCACTTGTCAATGTCACATAGATTACTTTGGCTCTGGCCTCTGACGTTCCGTTTCAGGTTACATGATTATTGACTTTACCATTTTTAATTAATGGTGCGTCACACGATAGTTAACACTATAGACATAAAACTCTAACACACATTTGTTCTCTATAACGTAAAATTTAAACGGTTTAGTACTTCTGCCTATTTGAGTTGCAATACTTGCAATACGATATCAGTTAGGTATTTTTTTTAATAAAACACTTTAAAACAGATAAATAAATTTCTAAATAGCAAGAAAAGTTAACTTACTTTTGTATTCCTCGCATGACGGCGGCAACGATATCACTAGGTATTTGTTGATAAATAATGGGCAACCATTTGTGCATCTATTTTAGGCAGATCATCCGATTGCCCTTTTTCGATTCCTACATCCATTTCATTATGAAAATGAAACAAAATACTGCACAAACTCGGCAACTCGCTACTAAGCGGAGCGGACCGTTGTAAAATGACGTCACATGTCACGTGACTATTAGCGGGACTCGAAATTTATCGTAAGTTTAAATGCCTATAAATTCAAAACTAGTAGGTATTTTTGACTAAAACAAAAACTAATATATTTGTATACATACAAGCTTTATTATACAAAACTTTCAACCGATTTGTCATACCTATGAACATTCTTCATTATGTTTTTGTATTACAGAGGTGGACAATAAAGGTAACGCGCCATGTAGGTTAATAGTAAAACAATTTAAAAATAGAGTCAGGCTAAGATCTACTGTCGACTAATTCTTTCTCACGTACCAGTGTTGCCTGTAACTTTACATAGTATAAAATGAAGTGGTTTCCGTTTTTTATTCGCTAAAGTCTTCTAAACTGCGCAACTTACTTTAATGCAGTTATTAGCAACAGATAGAGTGATTCAAGAGGAAGGTTTATATGTATAATATATGTATACCCATCCGAAGCCGGGTCGGGTAGCTTAGGTATATTATATAAATATTTTATTTGTTCTACGATATACGTATACTCAATGTATTCTTTGAGAATCAAAGCTATGTAATCTGTGATAATTGTCTATGTAAAGACTATAGTCTATGGATATTACTGGATACATCTGTGCCTTTATGGTTCTGTATTGCTTCTGTGTGCTTATCTTATATTCGGTCTTCTTTTATTTAATCTTTCTTTGTGTTTTTTACACGGCATAATACAACAAAGTATCCAAATTCTTTGTATTTAACAAGGAATTCTCATTTACACTTATTTTATTCGTTGTAAATGTTCGTTAATAACGTGACAAACACATTGCAATAGTGTAGGTTTGGTTACCAAAGTTACAAAAATGGCAGTGCTTGCTGCTGCTCAGTTGTTAGACGAGTTAATGGGACGGCACCGTAATACAAATCCAAATGATAAAGTCAAGAAGCCTAATTGGGAAGATCCAGAAGTAAATGCTTTTTCTATTATTTCCTCTATGAGCAAATTATTGAACTAACACTAACCTAGTGTTTTGGAATTGAGGGCTGTTTATATGTATATTAGCAAAACACATAAATTCAAAAAAAATATGTTTAATGTGTAATTGGGTTACTTTAGATACAATTCTGCAGAAATTGACTCATGTGTAGACGACGCACGACTATTTTGAACAAGCAGTACTTGAGATTCAGAGAATCTCAAGTACTACCGTTACCCGTTGTACCCAGCCAAAGCCTAAAGATTGTATATTAATTGCATGTTAAGTAAGCTATTGTGAAAGCATTTTTATATGGATTTTAATAAAGTTATGTATGCACTAATGGTTATACACTAAACATTGATATTAGTGGAGGACAATAGAATGAGCATGAGGTCAGTTTAGTTAGACATAGTTTAATATGAAAATGTCTCTAGCCGGGTGATTTTCAATGGTAACTTGTCAGGTCGACTTCCATGTGGTTCTCTGGAATCTGTTGTGTTGAATTCCTGGTGAATTTGCTATGAAGGGTTAAGTCACCTAAATTCATTCTTCTATTATCATCCTCCACTGGTAACCCCCTAGCATATACAGTTAGTATATGTGGGTGCATTATACCATTACCACCCATATAAAATTGTCTATGTTTTTCTTAATTCTTAATCTCTCTGATTAAACAATCCTGATTATAAGCATAATACAAATCACATCTAGATTTTAATGAAATTTAAGGATGATATAGATTGAAGAACCAATACAGACATAAACTAAAAGGAACAAGCGAAGTTAAAGAGTTTATAACCTCAGTGGTCTAGTGATTGTATGTCTGCATGCTACATTACTTCCGACCTTTGTGGGTTTGATTGTTTGCATGATCAATTCACTAGTATGATTGTTTATGTTGGTCTGGATGCTATGTATGCTCGTTTGCAATTTCTATCAGTTGCCTATTATATATCCCCATCAAAATGTCTGCTTAGTTTCGCACTAGATGACACTATGTGAATTGTCCAGGTTTATTATTATTATTAAACTAGTTAACTATAAACTATAGTTAGTAACATATTTGTTGTAATAATAATGTATTATTTTTGTCATTATAGTACTGCAAATACTACATGGTCAAGTTCTGTCCTCATGACTTATTTGTAAATACAAAAGCTGATCTTGGCATCTGTCCTAAAGTTCATGATGATGAAGTCAAAAATCTATTTGAGAAAACGGAGACAACATATAAGAAGGCTCAGTATGTGGAGGAGTTTCTACGATACTGTAGGCACATGATAAGTGAGGTTGAGAGTGAGTATAGTATATATTTTTCCTATTTATATAAAACAAACATATATGTAATATATTTTTTTCTTTGTAGGAAAAATACAAAAAGGCAAACAAAGGTTGGAATTAATGAATTCAAAACCTGAAGGTCCTCCAATGACTCAGGCGCAGACAGAAAAAAACCAAGAACAGGTATTCTTGTTTTTATTTAATTACATAAACCATTTTTATTATTGTTATAAAAATAAGATACATAAATTTCTAGCTATCTGTATTTATATCATTAAATCAATACTTTATACAACCTTTACCAAATGACCTGCGTTTGGTAAAGGTTTTATAAAGTAACATATCCAACAATCTTCTACTTGTAACTATTTGAATACTTGATCATACTTTCTCCATTTTGGTTCCATATTAATTTTGTTATATTAAGGTGTTTTTTGTTGAACTTAATTATTAATTGTTATTAGAAACATTTCCTCTATGTTCCTCATCTTGATATAAACATGTTATATTAAAATTTTAACTTATTTATATTTACTGTAGGTTTCACTGCTGTCAGACAAGATTGCATCTCTTATGCAAGAGGCAGAAGAGGCAGGTACTCGCGGCGACGTTGAACAAGCTCAGGGATTAATGAAACTGTGTGATAGACTGAAGGAGGAAAAAGAACAACTTTTGAAGCAGCAGGAAAACAGGTAATATTATACTTTTACAAAACATAGCCTTTCTAAAGTAAAGTTGATACTATAATAGAGAGTAGATATACAGAATCTACTCTTACTATTATTGTATCTATCTAGTTGTATGGGTATCTCTATCTCACCAATTTCAGCCACTCTGTTTTTGGTGAAACAGCTCCTTCTGCTCCTTCAATTTCCATTGAATTGACTGTTGAATATGTTTTTTGTAATATGAAATATGGAATAACTTAAGGACTAGCCAGAGAGAGGGAATGTTAAAAACATATTATTTTATGTTTTATTAGCCATTGGTCCATGACTGCGGAGTTGGCTGCTGCACAAGAGAAGCTAATGGAGGTATGCCCTGTCTGCGGTGCATTTCTGATTGTTGGAGATGCACAACAGAGGATTGATGATCATCTGTCGGGAAAACAACATGTTGGGTATGTGATTATATGTATTATTTATTTAAAATTTTGTAACTATATTCTCACCCTTTTTTTAAAGTGCCTTTTTATATGTCTGGGAATTTATTTATTTTAAAGAGTTAACACTTGATCCATGTTTACTTGTTATTAATTAATTATTTATTATAATTTGTTTATTTGTAATGGATAAAATAATACTCGGCTCATGTTCAAAACCTTTAATAAAACTGACTTAATGTGTAATTTTTAGATATTTCAAACTTCGTCAAGCATACGAGGAAATGAACGAGGCTCGTGAAAAAGAACAACAAGAAAAAGAGAGGAAACGCCGTGAGGAGAGGGAAAAAGAGCGTAGCACACGTGGAGGCGGTCTCGGATCGGACAGGCGCGACAGGGAGCGCATGGAGCGAGATCGTGAAAGGGACGGAGAGCGAGTGGAGAGGGGCAGGGATCGCAGTGAAAGAGGGGACCGCGATAAAGACCGGGAACGTCATAGGTAAATGGGACTTTACTATCTTGCTACAAAACCAATTTCATACTTGAGATAGTATGAAATTGGTTTTGTACTAATATGTAGCCAAATCGATAAACTTGGTAGAGAATTGCTGAAAATATTACTTAATTTACAAGCCAAAAAATAATAAAAATATTGCTAAAAATACAGACCGTATTGGGTTTAATTTTTGGCTTGTAAGTTTTAAAATTAAGATCTTTTTGAAATTGGTTGAAAGATAAAAAATAAAGATAAGAAAATATTAATATAAAAGGTATATTCACAAAAGTATTAGCCTTATACATTATACTTAATATTGTCTATTATCTATCATAAGGTCTGCTTTCATCACCATTCATATTTTTTTCCTATCATCCAGTTGTCTACACTTAGTAATTGTGTAGTAAATAGTAATTGAGAAGAACTGGCGAGAAATTCAACAAACTTTTTTTTTAATTCAGTTTATTTAGATGATATTATCAAATGTTCAACTATTGGCAGGCATAGTCGTTAAAGTAATCATTGACTAAGTAATAGGCTCGTCTCTATAAATATGGTTTAATACAAATTTATGTAATAAATTGTCAGGATTTATTATTGTTATTATTATATAAATATATTTCTAACGACAGATCAAGTCGCGAAGAGAAGAGTTCACGTCACGAGGAGCGAGATCGCGAGAGGGAACGCGATCGCGATAAGGACCGCGACCGGAAACATCGCAAGGACAGAAGTTAGTATTTTGTCTCAGACATCTCAGTTTTAAAAATAATCATCTTTATTTGTCTCAAATATTAAATTGGTTTTTTAATATTTAGTATATATCTGTATTAAATATATATATATTTTTAAATAAACAAAGATTGACATTTAGGTACTAGTAGTACTTATTAAAGGTTAAATAAATAGTGAATCCAAATTGAATACATTGTTACAATTAGTCCGATGCCGTATGCTTAATAAGATATTGTTTCAGAATCTTCCCACGAGCGGTCGCGCAGACGATCTCGCGACCGCCATTAGCAACTGACTGAGGTATCACAAAAGCGCCTGAAACCGGTAAGTATTAGTTTACATGACTATCCTGTACATTGCGAATAAATTCTTGAAAGCATAACACGACCTTCCACCATTTAACACCCCTCCCGACCCCTGCCACACCGATCTATTTATTTAACACTTTTTACTGTTATCCCAAATACCAACGCCTTTTCCAGTAAATATTGATACAATGAGAAGTAATAAAGTGAACATTGTTTTACAGCTTAATGTAGCATACCAAAATAAAACTTCGGTATATGGCAAACATAATGGGGAGTAATGTTGATCCCCATTGCACTCTCGATTCAGTAGTTGTCGTCACACCGACGGACTTGGCAGGTATTTGATTGGTATTTTGAATAGTTGCCACGCGCCGACAAGGGAAGACTTATTGGGCGATTGCTTTGCACATTTTATAACTTCCATGGTGTAAACATAGGAGTTTTAATGTGAGCGGCTTTGGTCACAGTAAGTTCTTCGACGAGCCCCCGACGTTTTTTGAGGTACTTAATTATTGTTTTCGTCGTCGAGTGTTGACAGTCGTCTGGTGCTGATCGCGTGTAAGCGATGTGTCAGGTATTTCTAGGTTACCTATAAAAATGTAGGCCATATATTTATATTTTCTAACTCTGCAAATTTATGTATATATTTTGTTATTGCCAAAACAAGAAAGTTAATACATATAAATGTGCCTGGGTTTTTAGTTTTCAATTAGTATAAAGATCAATTCAGTTATATTTATGTTCGGAATACCTCACCTATCTTTATGGAATGGAGGGGTTGATTGAACAAAGGGGTCATCTGAACACATTCCATTCTCGTTTAGATAAAACAAAGATAACATACATAACATTCAATACCTAATTTCCTATGATTGTTTTACTTTTATTGCGCTTGTATTTGAATGTATTTATGCCTATTCTATAATCAATATTTACCTTCACATAATGAATGCTGTGGTTATCTGTAATCGATTCTAATTGTGTAGTGTAATATTCCCTTGTAATATATGTCTATCTGTAGCCTCTTTGATTATACCCGAGAATATATTAGGCACACACTAATGGACGATGAAAGCAACTTATGCACTAGCTTTTACGTTTTGTTATTTTTAATTTTCCCAATGGAATGAAATATTTTGCTGGGATAAGTAGTTGCTCAAGGCTTTCTCCGGAGCAAAGTTTTGATATGAATGAAAAGAATATGACATGATATTATGAACTTGTGATATATTGCAATGAAATAATGTAAATTATTCCATTACTATTTATTAATTTATAGGTAAAATTTAAAGTATAAAATATTAGCAATCAATTTCTAAGATTAGTATTTATATGTATGTTACCTGATATTTGTTGAGTATGAACAAATTTTGATGAATTTTTTTCTTGAGAAATAGTGTTTAAAAATAGCATAATTATGAGAGATAAAATGTCAATATGTCTTCGTCTGTTCACATAAAGACCTCTATAAGATATAGTTGCCGAAATAGATTATACTTTTAATAATTAAATAAACATTACACAGATTACACGTCACTGTTATCGTTATTTAAACATAAAAAGCGTTTATCAGAATGACGAAATCGATTTTCTTAGCAATATTTTGTAATGATTTTATAATAGCATTATATATATTATATATTTTTAGCAGTAGCTTATATCACGAATTTAGAAAATGCCACAGATATTTTTTTTGCTTCAAAAGGTAACTTAAGCAATTCCATTAATATTTTTAACGAAAACAGAGTCTACATCTGTAGTCCCAGGCACACAATTATCTACTAGTCACTGTTTATAACTGTCTACAAAACAAATATTTAAAGTATAAAAATTTGAACGTCCGCGTATTATACTGTATCATAGATTATTTCCACAAAAATATGGAATAATAATAACCATGCATAATTCACACACCACTGCATATTTTCCTAAGCCAACCAGAGCTTGTGTTGATAGCAATATTAAAATACATTTTATTGTAAATATGTACATGCATAATATACATAGTAAATACCCAGATCGATACAAACAGTCATACTCATGAATATAAATGTTTGCATCGCGCTAGAAAGCGAACCCGCGACTGTCGGAAGTAAGATGGTGTGCTAAATCGCTAGATCACCGTCGTCATATAATAATGCAGCTTCACAATGTGCATAAATCTGATATACAAAGGACTTAGCCGCTATTCTGTTCAATGTTAGTCAGCCAAGTTTTGTTTATCATTACATTGTCATCGCATACTATGCCATGATTTGGAGATGTGAGGGGAGCACATACCGTTTGCTCCCAGTATCACGATAATGGATGCTGTTATCACATCATCTACCGTGTACTTCCAGGTACCAATCTTTGTAATGCATGGCACCAAGTTTCCTCGTAATTACATTTCACAAAATAATACTGTTTCAAAATTATATAACAATAAAATGATTATATTAGAAACTTGATGCCATTTTCTAAATTAACAAATTACCCTGCAAACCCGTTTGGAATGGAACAATCAATGATTTGTTATTAAAGTGTTATACTTAACATGTGTATAAGAGACCCAATTTGGTTTAAAGAGTCACTAAGATTTTGTTAGTTTATGACCGCCATATTTGTAATGATGACTATTCATTCAGTCAATATTACTCCCACAATAATTTAGTGGAATTTAACGACATCTCATTCATTAAAATCCACCAATGTTACCCAAAAAATCCGAACATTCATACTTACACAGAAAAAACATTTTAGTTTTTTTACAGTGGGGTCTATATATTTCAAATTCTTTTACCTGTCACTTAAAAATGTAATAATGTACTCAAATTAGTAAATACACTGTAAATAATTTTGTTTATTTCATGTTAGTCATTGATTGCAGTCCATTCTAAGTATTTTGCAGCACAAACGCTCCTTACTAGCTTGCTCGATGGACTTTTCAGTTGGCAATCCGTTGAAGAACCCCGGCCTGCGCTGCTACAATGAGGTACTTATCAAATTAAGACACTGAAGACGGCAAAATAATCGACTCTGCATCCACGGTCTCGAGGTGACATAGAATAGTCACATATATCTAATGCATACATAAGATAATGATTGTTAGCTAATGATTCCAAAATATACGTTAGTTAAATGCATGTAGTCCTATTAGGACTTTATTTCCATTTAGACAATTAATGTTTGTAATGTGTAACTACCTCTAAGACTTCGATCCCTAGGGAGGTCACTTATTGTATACCAGTTCCCACTATGGAGACATTCAGGTATTTATCAAATTATTTTTATTTAATTTAATTGCAATGTTAATATGATTTATTTTGTCACGTATTCAAAGTGTGAATTCGATAGGAAATAATTTCAAAAAATAAAAATATAATATAAAATGTTGTTTTATTTAAGAAATGTAAACATAGTGCAAGATGAGGATACTCGATTAGTCAATAGAATGTAACGTAACTGAAAAAGTCAACTGAGAAAAGAAACGACAGAAATCTAGGAATATTTTCCCTATCTCTCTTTTACCAAGAAAATAATTATGAAGACTTTATAAGAGTTGTCGCTGAGACTCAGTTACTCTACTCCAACATTCAGCCGCCAAGCAGCTTGTTTTGTAATACCCATACTTTTTTTTATCGATCGAAATTTGCGTGTCACTCTTTTAAATAAATATTATAACTTTACATTTTTAAGTTGAAATGTGTGAATATAAACTAGCAATAATTCATTAGAATACACAATCAACTGCTTAAAATCAGTTGTAGTTATTAGAGCAGACCAGTCACTACAAGCAGCACTCGTTCACAAGCATGACGGCTTTGTAACCTGGGTTCTGGGTGAAAGGCGAAACAAGGAAATTAAATAACACTATAAGTTACATGACATTTTAGTCCTTTGGAATGACAACCCATGAGCAGTATCACAAGCGTCACAACGTGATGCTCGTAGTTGCTGTTCTGAACGACGAACACTACTTACCATGGCTGGACCGTCTGCTTGTCATTCAAAGTACATAACTATATAAATATATGAATAAAAATACAGGTTTTAACGCAATGTAGGCTTTTATAAATAGGTGAATGCAATCATAAATCAGTCATAATTAACGGCCTCAGTGGTCTAGCGGTTTAGAACACTGCCTTACTTCCGATGGTCGCGGGTTCGATTCCTCGCACTGCACAAACATTTGCATTCATGAGTATGATTGTTTGTATTGATCTGGGTGTTTTCCATTTATAATATGTATGTATTTACGAAAATAAAAATCTATGTGCTTGTATCAGTTATCTAGTACCCATAACACAGACTTTACCTACTTTAACATGGGTCTGGATAGCGCTGTGTGAATTGTTCTGAGATTATTATTATAATTTTCCACCCTGCGTATAATATGTGTAGGTAGATACAACATGAAGGTAAAGCTGAGGAGATCAATCTCCGCTAAAGAGTCCCATTCCAAAGCATTACATCTTTATATTACACACCTGTGTCACCTTGATACCTTTGTTGCCGCGGAATGTACTTCATTTGTTACATTCTACTGTACAACGAAAGCCCTTTGAACCGGCAAAAACAACGAATAAACATGAAAAAACACATTGCGGGAACGTGCGAGAAACTTTGGACCGATGTTTGTTCCTGCGACAAAGGTTTTCCTTATTTACTTTTGCCGTTTCTTTACCCGGCGTATTGTTCAATTGAGCCGAAATTCGATAAGCTTGAGCTCGATTCGAATCTTGGTATTTTGGGTAAGTATAGCTGGGATCCTATGGGTCAGTTCAGATATAAAAATATTTTATTGTAGTATTTTTTTTCGAAACATCTTGCCTTGGTTTCGACTCTAAAGGTTGCGATTTATAATATGTGCGTCACAAACCAAAACTTTGTATAAATTCAATCTCTTGACTAACATTTCGGTGATGTAAACACTGATAACAATCTAAATTAATCTGCTGCTGCGGTAGGCTCGTTTATTGCCACGTTGCGTTCTATATACCAGATGAAATGTGGGCATATTGAATGTTATGGCTAACGCTGAAAGTTGACAATGCCTCTGACTTTTTTTTTTTTTTTTTTTCACGTCAGGAAAATCCATCATGGAGAACCATTCCCTTAGGGAAGAATGGATACTGCCGGACTCCTACCTGCTAAAAACCTGACGACTGTTCCTCCTCGACATAATCGCCGTGGCCATGGGATACGCAAAGCATTCACCAAGACCACCGGCATGGTTCCCATCGAAGGGACCTCCATCTAGGCGTGCAGGGAACAGTCTCTGCACGCCACCTCCAGACCCTAAAACCTCCCCGGCGGGGGCGAGGTACTCCCTCTCGCCTCCCCAAGGTTGTCATCGGACCGGAATGACATTGAGGACCCTGTGCATTCCGAGTCCATGTCCGCCACGTGCAGTTCGAGGGCCTCGAGATAGTTGACGGCCCCGTACTTCCTCATCAGCTTCCTCTGGTACTTTTCCTCATCGCTGTTCGTGTCCCCCCCAGAGTACGTGGGACGGCCCACCCCCGGCAAATCCGGTGCGGTGGGGGAGGATTCTCCGGCCGCAGAGCGACCGGTACCTCCCTGGGGTAATATACTTTTCCGTTCAGCCATGAGTTGTATTGTTCCTTTTAACGGGTGTGGTCCCGACCTCCTGCCACCAACGACGAAGAAAGAAAAAAGAAGAACAACCAAAAAGACAGCAAAGACAAAAGACAGAAAAAGACAGACAAACAACCAAAGACAAATAAAAACCAAAATAAATTAAAACAAATAAAAAGAAGACAAAACAAACGAAAACAAAATAAGAAGAAACAACCAAAAAATAAAAACGAAGAGAAAGTTGGGGGGGTTCGCCGGCTCCGGCAGCCTCGACCTTGTCGAGGCATGGGAAACCGCGAACACGCCCAACCTGCCGGGCTACTGGCCGACATAGTAGCCGTATCCCGAAGGAACGACTACTATCCCGCCCGGGGCGTACCAGAACCAAACCATTGCTCGGCCACCGTTCCCCGCGGACGTATCCACGAGGATGGGGAAGCCTCCCAATGGCAGGCCCATACTAGGAGGTTGCCCGACCCACGCCCCGACAATGCCTCTGACTACCCCAGCTAGCACAACAGTCGTGAAGCTAAATTAATATTATCTTCTATTGTGTATATATTTTCCCTTAGACTATAACTATTCTACCTGACTGATTAAAAGTAAGTAAGTAGACCCTTACATATACATTTGGAGGGCGTAACACTCGTTTGGTAAAATTTGGACGTCTGGTGGCGACTATTCTCAGGGGATATACCCTTGAGAACCGAGTCATGACTATGTAGATCCCATGTCATATTTGGCATATAACTAGACCTATTGTACGGTTGTATCTCATGGGAATCAAGGTTGGGTCGTAAATATTTTACTCACAAAACCTTAACCTTAACAGAGGTTTGTAATTTAATATTTTTGGTACAGATTGGATTGTTTTGCAATTTATATGTACCTACCTAGTACCCGTAGTTAACACTCGGTTGTGTCAATTACCTAATAATTTTCATAGATATAATATATTGACAAATATAAATGTCTGTTATGTGCGGATTATTCCGCTTTCCAAGTTTTATACGATATAGAACCGAATGAAATATATCTAACTAGTATGGTAATCGATTATTGTATATTTTTCCAAACAAAATGACGTCCAACTGAGGATAAGTGGGAACCGTGACCTACATATATACAAGAACAACCACATCATCATTTAGGGACTATAGTGCCTTTCAAAAGTGGCCGTTTTGAAGGACTATGATGTTGATGAAGCACCATGTAACACGGCTTGGCAGCTGAAATAGATGAGACAGGCCGCTAATGCTTATGTGTCGTAATCATACTAATTCTATGTCAGTATTGCACTTAATTATATAATAAAATGATTAAGAACTGAATAGTTGACAATTACTCTGACTATACCAACAGGGATAACAGTCGTGATGGTATGTATTAACAAGTATTGTGTAAATCCAGCATAACATACATACAACAGTCTGTCAAGTCTTAGTGTCACTGTCAGATGGATATGTCATCTTGCCGTTGACGTTTTGCTTCCACAGTCTTGTTTGTTATTTTGTAAACAAAGACTCAGTATAATAATCATAGTCTCTAGTTTTAAAAACCAGTACAGAAATTTTAGTATATTTGAATTGAAATATTGCACTTCTACTACTTCATTATATTGCTTTTGTAAGTAATAAGTCTTGTAAAGTGAACTCTTTATTCTTAGAGGTTATTTTTTATTTAACTAATAATTGTTAACAATGCCGCCCGAAACTGAAACTGAGGATGAAACGAAAATGAAAGAGCAAAAAGCTAGAGCCGAGCTAAGAGAAGACTTTCTGAGGACATTGCACGAGTTATCTGGTAAGATTCTTGAACATTCGGTAGCCATAAAGTGATCTGATCCAATGTTATAACCTGCAATATGAACTTAAGGAATAAATAGCTCTCACACGTATTTGTTCACATATGTCACATTTGAAATAGCACTAGTCGGGTATAATAGGATAACAATAAAGGCAGGCTGGTTAGCATAGAGGTCAGAAACTGATATGTTAAGTTGCTAGTAGTGGGTCTATTAGTACTACAAAAAATCTCCCCCAGCTTTAAATAATTACTATTATATACATATTTAAAGCAACTACAATTGTGAGTAATTTACAGGTGATACAAAAGAGATTGAATATTCTAATCTCTCCTAGTCATACAGTTATAGACATACCATAGGTGCCTGTAATGTACCTTCCAACTGATCTTAAAAAAACACATCGGTGGAGGGCTAAATATTGCTTATGTTAATCATTTATATATATATATATAAATGTACATCACTGAATATTACAGCATACATGCAAGTTAAGTTTTGGTTAGTGTTAGCCTAATTATCTTTAGTCTTATCACTTATAAAGTTAATTACTATTACCGATTGAAATTAAATGATAGCAACAGATTTAATTTTGCCACAATATGGCAGTGTTTGTTATATGAGAGGCAAGGCAATATTATGCTAAAACTTTACAATCTTGTAACATAAGTGAGACTACTGGCTTATTATATATACCTTCTTATAAATTTTCTTTATTTTTAGGTGAATCCTGCAATATACTGACATATGAACAATCAACTCTCCATGCAACATTTTCAGCTTGGAGACCAGATGGCTCCGACATTTTTGTGCACAATATGCAGACTCCAGCTGGAATTAATATGCCATCAGCATTAATAAGGACCCCAGATATATTAGCAATACAATTTGACAGATTAAAGACCTAGTAATCACTTTTGTGAAAATATCACTTTAATATATAATATACTTTCAATGATATTAAATATGTATATTTCAAGTGTTAGAAATATATTACTCGCCTGCACTAACAAGGCACCAATGGGGAATGATAAAATGATCATGAGGTTAGATCAGTTAGCCCAACATGACAAATTCAGGAACTTATCACAATGGTTTCCAGGTGGAACCGCAAATAGAGGTCAACCTGACATAGTACATTGCTAGCAATGTGATCATTTACTAACAGTCCCCTTCCCCCTTGGGCGTTGTAGTTGCTTATAGGCCGCAGTTATCAGGCGCCTACTAGTATTATTTTGATCAGTCTTCATTATTACATAGTATAAAACAAAGTTGATATGGCTCTCTGTCATTATGTATGCTTAAATAATTAAAACTATGCAACGGATTTTGGATCTGATTTTTTTAATAGATAGATTGATGCAAGAGGAAGTTTTATATATACCTATATAATACATGTACACCTTTGCGAAGCCGGGGCGAGTAGCTAGTATGTTATATAAGAATTATAAATTATTAAATATGAATAAAGAACAATACTTACAAATATGCATACTAATTCTTAAAAATCTAATTTACTATTAGATACCTATATCAAATACACAGTATTCTGTATATAGCGAGGACACAATCTTACATTCGTAATCCCATTATAGATATTCACGCACGGGAATCGGGAATTTTGTAGAGGATCCTGATTTAGCCGACGTGTGCGATCGTTTTCTCTAATTGAATTTTTTCTGCTCAATCAATTCACCCGCGAGAAAAAGTAGGAAACTTGCGGATTGGTGCCTTGGGATGAAGCTTTATAAATGGGAGCAATCTGTTGTGTGTAATTAAGGGTTTTGTTAAAGCGGAAATAATTATTATTGTCGGAAATAAATATTTTTTGTTCCAAATTGTGAGGTTATTTAATGGAAACAGCTAACTGTTACTTGTATATAGGAGATATATTGGATACGTTGGATGTATTTAGGCATCCTATCTACCACTATATCTGACTGTGTGTACCTACTGTCGTGAAGCAGTCATCAACTAAGTACTCAGTTGAAATTTCTGTGTCTAGAATTATGAAACACTGCACTAAAAGAGGATGTTGCAAAATATCCATGAGAATGGGAAATACGCGAGTTTCTTGTTCAATGAAATCGTATAACTTTAACAGTACAAGTACAAATGCATAAAATTAATATACAATGTTCTAACATTTTCATCGTTTTGGAAATGATTTGTGGTCACGAATGTGCGAGCTCACGAACCAGTGACCCCCGCCTGCTATTTATCTGAACACCCGTGACCTTAGTATACAGAGACCTGTTGCTCAATCGATTCGCAAGCTGCCAGTTTGTATGGCGCATGGAGCTCCCGAGCGGGCTTTTTATAAGTCGCTTCGCTTGCCGCCTTTATTTAGATATTGAGTTTAGAATGTGTATGTAAAAGTTATATTGCGCGGAAATTTAGTTATAGCACAGATAACATAATATTACATAAAATTGTATTGTAATATAGATAGATATGTAACTTCTTATTTAGGAAGTTTAGGAAATGTTTAGGTCCCAAATAAAGGAAACTGATTGATAATATGTATTGCAAGTGCAATTATTATGATATAGTATAGTATAGTATATATATAACAGATATAATAAATATATATATATATATATATAGACGAAGTTTTCATTCACTAACTAGCTTCTGCTGACTGCTTCGCTTATGTTCTTTGTCCCAATTTACATCTTTCTGGAACCAAGGTTTAGGTTAGACATTGACGAGACAGTGAGTGATGCCTTTATTTTTATATAAGAAACTAGTAGAGCCCGCGATTTCGTCCACTTGTACATTTGTAGGCGCAATCGAATTAATTTATATATTAAAATAATAGAACATAAGATTAAAGCTAATTGCCATCACGTTTGTAATCTTACAACTATTCCATACATTAGATATTATTGTTTTTATATATTATTTATAAATAGGTATATTCTGATATTATTTGTTAAAGAAAGTAAGGCTGATCAAATCAAAGATGCTGATATCAAAGATGTTGATATCAGCATCTTTGATTTGATCTCAAAAATGAGTTCAGAAATGCAACTCGAGTAGTAAAGGACAAAAATTACAAGCATGGCTTACACACACCACCGGATTTACAAAAAGAAGGACTCAACGACGGGTGGACTCTCTATCGACGATATTATATAGGAAATCATTTATATGGTGATGTGTATCCATAATTCTTTCAATATTATACAGGCATATATTAAAGATAATTAAGAAATACATATTTATTTCGGACTGTATAGTGCTTAAATTGGTATAGTATCAACTATACTAAACATTACTGCATTAAATACAGTAATGTTTACCGAAGGTAAGATAATTAGAGGTATACATTGTAGATATATTTTTATTCTTACTTATCTGCTACTATCGTAAAATAAGAAAAAAATATTAGAATTCCTACTAAACTCTAAAAAAATTTAATCAATTGGCTGCCTGACTTTAGAAAAGGGTTGTCCAAACCAAAACGTCCAAAGCAAAAAGCAGTGATAAAGTATACAATAAGCTCTACCTCTTTCCAGATTGAACTAATCGTTTCAACACAGTGAAAGATGTAAATACCGTATTTTACATTTACAGAATAATTTATGTAAAAAGTCTAGCAGATGTCATAAATGAAATTATTTCTGACGGCCTCGGTGGTCTAGCGGTTTAACGCACCGCTTCAGTTCTGAATGTTCTGATGGTCGCGGGTTTGATTTCTCACAACATTGTTGTGAGAAATCAAACCCGGTATTTACATCTTTCACTGTGTTGAAACGATTAGTTCAATCTCGAAAGAGGTAGAGCTTATTGTATACTTTATCACTGCTTTTTGCTTTGGACGTTTTGGTTTGGACAACCCTTTTCTAAAGTCAGGCAGCCAATTGATAAAATTTTTTTAGAGTTTAGTGGGAATTCTAATATTTTTTTCTTATTTTACGATAGTAGCAGATAAATAAGAATAAAAATATATCTACAATGTATACCTCTAATCATCTTACCTTCGGTAATCATTACTGTATTTAATGCAGTAATGTTTAGTATAGTTGATACTATACCAATTTAAGCACTATACATCTTAATTATCTTCAATATATGCCTGTATAATATTGAAAGAATTATGGATACACATCACCATATAAATGATTTCCTATATAATATCGTCGATAGAGAGTCCACCCGTCGTTGAGTCCTTCTTTTTGTAAATCCGGTGGTGTGTGTAAGCCATGCTTGTAGTTTTTGTTCTTTACTACTCGAGTTGCATTTCTGAACTCATTTTTGTCAAATCAAAGATGCTGATATCAACATCTTTGATATCAGCATCTTTGATTTGATCAGTCTTACTTTCTTTAACAAATAATATCAGAATATACCTATTTATAAATAATATATAAAAACAATAATATCTAATGTATGGAATAGTTGTAAGATTATAAACGTGATGGCAATTAGCTTTAATCTTATGTTCTATTATTTTAATATATAAATTAATTCGATTGCGCCTACAAATGTACAAGTGGACGAAATCGCGGGCTCTACTAGTTTCTTATATAAAAAGAAAAGGCATCACTCACTGTCTCGTCAATGTCTAACCTAAACCTTGGTTCCAGAAAGATGTAAATTGGGACAAAGAACATAAGCGAAGCAGTCAGCAGAAGCTAGTTAGTGAATGAAAACTTCGTTTATATATATATTTATTATATCTGTTATATATATACTATACTATACTATATCATAATAATTGCACTTGCAATACATATTATCAATCAGTTTCCTTTATTTGGGACCTAAACATTTCCTAAACTTCCTAAATAAGAAGTTACATACCTATCTATATTACAATACAATTTTACTATAACTAAATTTCCGCGCAATATAACTTTTACATACACATTCTAACATATGTAACAAAGATAAAGCTGGCGTCCAAGAAGCTCGGTGTGCTCAATAGAGCGGTACTTCACTGCGGACCAGAGACTTCTCTTATATAAGTCATAGGTTCGGCCGCACATGGAGTACTGCTCTCATCTTTGGGCGGGAGCACCTGGATACCAGCTCGGTCCATTTGACTCGGTTCAGAGACGTACTATGAGAATTGTCGATGGTCCCAATCTCTCTGGCGGTAACGAGCCACTCAGCTTGAGGCGAGACTTCGCCTCGCTTTGTGTGTTCTACCGATTATACAACGGACTGTGTTCTGAGGAATTGTTCGACATGATGCCGACAGCCATCTTCTACCACCGCACCGCTCGCCATCGACAGAGAATTCATCCCCACACGCTGGAACCTAAGTGGTCCCGAACAGTGCGGTTTCAGAGGAGTTTCCTCCCGCGTACACTTAGATTGTGAAATGAACTTCCTGCCGAGGTTTTCCCACGAGACTACAGCATGGGGTTTTTCAAGAAGGGTATATTAAGGTTTTTTAAGGGTCAGCAACGCGCAAGTAATACCCCTGGTGTTTCAGGCGTTCATAGGTTACGGTAACCATGTACCATCAGATGCGCCGTATGCTTGATTGCCACACGCGTTGTATAAAAAAAAAAAAAATTCATGAATAAGATTATTTGTATCTGTCTGGGAGTTTTAGAAAACTTATGTATGTATGTAGTTTTCTATAAAACTCCCAGATGGATGGATGTTATATATGATTTACAAAATATTTGTAATATCATTTGTTTTATACCCATAACACAATCTCTGCTTAACTTGGGACTAGGTGACGCTGTGTTAACTGTCCTAAGATTTTGCTTTCACGCCTTAATCATAATGAAATATTGAACCTTATATCAGGATGACGACATTAACTACTTTTTATCATCAATCGTAGTAACATGAAGCCGCGGCCCGAAGTTAGTAATCAATACAGTCGAATTGATTATGCTAATACACGTAGTGGCGCGGCATGAAGCTTAACCGATCGAGTTTTCCTCTTAAGTATATGCTATCTACTGAATTGTTCACGCTCCATAACCTTTAATAGGGTAGATAGGTAGGTAGCACTTATATTTAGCTTTTAAAACACTGTACAATGTAGTGCACTAATTTATATTGCTTATTTTTCATCAAAGGAGAAGTCATAATTTGATAGTATCGTTAATTAAATATAGTCAGTAATAAGTTATTTTATATAAAATTTTTAACATACAATACTAAATACATAAAAAAACGGTAAGACTGTCCCGTATCGTACCTGGCTTAAAGGTTCCCATAATACTCGCAGAATTTCCGCAGCATCATTCATTTATATATCTAATCCCAAAATTTTATTATCAACATTAATTACCCGGGTATTTTTATTTATTTACTGTCATTTTTAATTAAATATATCTAATATTAATAGCACACCGTCTGTTTCCTTTACTGTTTGAGTTACTACAAAAGAATAGTCAAAATAAATTAAGCATTAGATACCAAAATACACAATATCGGCCAATGTCAGATCGGAAATGTCAAAAAATCGGAAAAGTTGAAATCGGAAAATACATAATCTTGAAATATTAGAACAAACAATAGTAACTTGGAAATTAGTTTATTTAAATTCGTCTGACGAATTGTAACAAGTTAATAAGAGGAGTGACACGGCGTCTCTGACAACTCGGATTATTTCTTATGACGACGCCAGTAGATAATTACTTACAAAAGTTCTTAACCAGATTAATAACTTTACTGTAGGAGCCTCATTTAGGGAGGCAGCAGGAGTATTTTGTATGCGAGAGAATTTGTTAAAACCTTTCACCTCACTATAATGTGATTAACACAAATAGCATACACGATTAATCTTATCTCAATAATATTATAAACGCGA